ATAGCTTTCCTCTGATTGTAAGACCCTGTCTTAGACCCTAATATTCACATTAGCTTGTTAAAGTTCCTGCCTTTATCGCTTTTTACTTCAACTCGACCCATAACTCGATCGAGCTTGATTACTCTGGTCCCACTCGACTCGAGTCCTTGGTCGAGCTGTTTGCTTTACTGCTTTCTTTACTTTATCGCTTTGCATTCTGCTTCATTAGGTTGTTAGAGTTACCACCATATCATTTACTGTTTGCTTGACTTCCTCGTTATTGCATATTTTCATACAATGATAATTTCACCCATATGGATTGATACCCCTTATACTATAATGACTATGATGGTTAAGGGGAATTGTTGATTGTGATTGTGATTTGCATCTTACCACCTCATCTCATATGCCACTGTTGCATTATACCACATTTCATATCATATCTTTCACACCCACACACAAATCCTATTATCAATTTGGCGCCGTTGCCATTTTTGGTTGAATATTGTTGCATTTGAGTTTCTAATACACTTGGATGATCAAGCTATCCCACCCATGTTCTTTGTATTGCTGGGTTTTTGATTCTTTTTGCAGGTGTATGCGAACTCGTTCGAGTCGGACAACAAAAGACTTGGTCGAGCTAGACTTCACCACGGATAGAAAGAGAAGTCACAGGACTCAGAGGGTACAAGAGGAACCTGAGGTGCTTGTTACTGATACCATGGATGTACCAGAGGGGAATGGAAACCCTTTGGCCCATAGTGCATCATCTAACTTTGCAAGCCCAATCCTTCCCAGTTGTGCCTGCAGTCTTTGAAGGAATGTTCTTGATCTCTCTGTTAGATAGCTCGACTTGGCCACTCGTCTGGGGATGATAAGGAGTCGCCACCTTGTGCTTCACCCCGTGCCTCTTCAACATATTATCGAAGGTCCTATTGATGAAATGGGAACCTCCATCACTGATAACAACTCTTGGCACACCAAATCGAGGGAAGATCACCGACTTGAACATCTTCATCACGACCTTTGCATCATTAGTGGGACTGGCCAAAGCCTCTACCCACTTAGATACATAGTCGACAGCCACCAAAATGTACAGTTTCCATAGGAAGATGGGAAGGGTCCCATGAAGTCAACTCCCCACACGTCGAAAACCTCTACTTCCAGAATGAAGTTCTGTGGCATCTCGTTTCTCTTACTGATGTTCCCCTGTCTCTGGCATACATCACACTTAGACACGAATCTGTGAGCATCTCGGAACATGGTGGGCCACCAGTAGCCAGCTTGCAGCGCCTTGGATACAGTCTTGTACGTGGCGAAGTGTCCAGCATAAGACGAGCTATGACAGTGGAACAAGATCCCAGGTATCTCCTCATCAGCTACACATCTCCTGTAGACTCCATCGGTGCAGTGCTTGTACAGGTATGGCTCATCCCAGAAATAGCGCCTATGTCTCTCAGAACTTCTTCTTCTTGTTCCCCACAAACCAGTAGGTTCGTGCTCAGCAGCGAGGTAATTCGCTATCTCTCCAAACCATGGGAAACTGGAACGGTCAACGGCGTTACAGCTCAAAGTACGATCTCCGTCATCCCATTCGATCGATCTCTTCATGCACTCGATCGAACTCCATCATCTGCGAGCAGGGGCTCGCCGTAATCGATCACCTCAACAGCGTAGACGTGCTCATCAGGTAGTGTCGTCTAGAGGGACGTCATCATCGATCTTCATCCTTGACAGGTGATCAGCTACACCATTGTCAATCCCTTTCTTATCCTTGATCTCCAGATCGAACTCCTGAAGCAAAAGAATCCATCTCAAGAGTCTCGGCTTCGCATCCTTCTTCGTCAGCAAGTACTTCAAGGCAGCGTGATCAGTATGGACAATCACCTTCGATCCAACAAGATAGGACCGAAACTTCTCAAATGCAAACACCACCGCCAATAGTTCCTTCTCAGTCGTAGCGTACTTGCACTGAGCTTCATCAAGTGTGCGACTGGCGTAGTAGATCACGTGCAGCTTCTTCTCCTTTCTCTGGCCCAGAACCGCTCCGACAGCATAGTCACTAGCATCTGTCATCACCTCGAACGGAAGGTCCAGTCAGGAGGTTGGACAATTGGAGCACTCACCAGAGCTCCCTTGATCGTGTGAAAGGCCTCCAAACATGCACTGTCAAAGTCGAACTTGACCTCCTTACACAACAGCATGCGTCAAAGGTCTGGTGATCTTGGAGAAGTCCTTGATGAACGCCTGTAGAACCCTGCATGCCCCAGAAAGCTGCGGATTCCCTTGACAGAATTAGGCGGCTGTAGACTCATCATCACCTCGATCTTCGCTCTGTCACCTCGATTCCCTTCTCTGAAATCCTATGTCCCAGCACGATCCCATCTCTCACCATGAAGTGGCATTTCTCCCAGTTCAGCACAAGATGTCTCTCCTCACACCGCTGCAATACCCTGCACAGATTAGACAAACACACAGCAAAGGAGCTTCCATAGACAGAAAAGTCGTCCATGAAAACTTCCATTATGTCCTCAATAAGGTCAGTGAAAATAGACATCATGCAGCGCTGGAACGTGCCGGTGCATTGCACAGTCCAAACGGCATTCTGCGATAAGCATAAGTGCCATATGGACATGTGAATGTCGTCTTCTCCTGGTCGTCTGGGTGGATGGGGATCTGAAAGAAACCTGAGTAACCATCTAAAAAGCAGTAGTATGGATGGTTAGCCAATCTCTCAAGCATTTGATCAATAAATGGGAGAGGAAAATGATCTTTGCGAGTTGCAGCATTCAGTTTGCGGTAATCAATGCACATGCGATGACCAGTGACAGTTCTAGTGGGTATCAGCTCGTTCCTATCATTCTTAACAACAGTTATACCACCTTTCTTAGGAACTACATGCACAGGACTGACCCACTTACTATCAGATATAGCATAAATTACACCAGCATCTAGAAGTTTCATTATCTCTTTCTTGACAACATCTTTTAGATTCGGGTTTAACCTCCTCTGATGTTCTACAGAAGTCATCGATTCATCTTCTAGATGTATTCTATGCATGCAAAGATCAGGAGAAATTCCAGGGATGTCATCTAGCGAATACCCTATAGCTTTTCTATACTTCCTAAGCTCACAGAGAAGCAAAGCAAGTTCAACATTGTTCAGCTCAGCATTCACTATCACAGGGTATTGATGATAAGATTTGTGTGTGGATGTGAATGATATGAAATGAGATGTGGTGGAATGCAACTGTGGTATATGATGAGGTGGTAAGATGCAAACACAAACACAGTCAACAATTCCCTTTAACCATGATAGTCATTATAGCATAAAGGGTATCAATCCAAAATGGAGAAGTTGTTACTCTATGAGAATATGAAATAACCAGGAAGTCAAGCAAGCAATAATTGATATGGGGGTAACACTAACAACCTAACAAAATGAAATGCAATGCAGAAATAGAAAGAAAAGCAGTAAAGCAACAACTCGACCAAGGACTCGAGTCGAGTTGGAACAGAGTACCGAGCTCGATCGAGTTAAGGGTCGAGTTGAAATAAAAAGCAATAAAGGCAGCGACTGTAACAAGCTAATGCGAAAATTAGGGTTCAAGACAAGATTTTTTAACTAGGGGAAGCTACACTTAATCAATCCTGCTCTTAAAACTCCTTGTATCAAGGCTTCTCTTGATATTGGGCTTCTCAATGCCTAGCCAACCCTTTCCCAAGGTGGAGGCTATCAACCAAGGAATGATCTCAGAAACAGGGGGTTAGCCAGTGAGAATCAGACCTTGGAGGCCATAGGATCATTGCCCAAACTAATCCATCCAACCCCTTGAAATCCATTTCGAGAGCAAGAGTTATTAGAGCCCTTAGTGCATATTTTCCAGCGATTTCCATCACTTCCATGTGGAGAATCGCCTAATGACATACAAGCCAGGAGTAGTGGTCATGTAGCCTTAAGATTTATCCAAAAGAGAGAGAATATAGATTAAGACCATAAGCAAGAAGGATTAAGCATATGAAACCTCTAATCTATCCCATCTCAAACCCTAATGAGTAACTACTCACTACACATGAATGTAAACACAAGCAAATGCAATGAAACAAACATCATATGAAAGAGGAGATAAAGATGAACAACTTTTATTCAAATAGATAAGTGCAAATACAAAAGAGATTATCCAGGATCTAAGATTCAAGAAGCAAGAGCTTCAAGAACACAGATGGGATTAGAGCTCTAAAAAGTAAAAGACAATAATTAAAAAGAAACTAAAACAAAAAGTAATCTAAAGCTTGGTGGTTTTTTCGTGGCTTTTAGCCTTTGCGTATCCAGTTGAGCTGCGTCCATGCACCAAGTCCTTCCTTGCTCCTCACGTCCCATATGCTCCAAAATGCTCCAAAAGACCTATTTCAAAGGACCAAACATGCATATGTATGCAAATGCAACTTAAAACTACTATGAATGCATAAGGAGAGAAAAGGAACAAGAAATGATGCTAATGGATGCTAAAACTATGCAAAAGATGCATAAAAGATGTACTAAAACTATGTAAAATGCAAGTACATCAGGTATGTAGAGTTAGGTCCCAGAAATGCATACCTGAGCCCCTCAGGGAGTGTTTTCAGCTCGAGCTTAGGTGCACTCGACTCGCTCCAAGGGTATTGACAGGACTCTCCCGAGGTGGTGCAGCATGGGGTTTCGTCGATCCTCCTCATTCCTCCAAGCTCATGAATGCCACCAGTCTCTCCATCTTGCCGCTTGCATCCATCATTTTCCCGAAGCCATCGGCCTCCTCATTCAGGAAATCATACTCTCCTTCAGCTTTAGTCAAAGCTACCTCCAGAGGGTCGTCAAGAAGCATCTCCTCACTCACTTCGTCCACCAAGTTTGAGCCATCTTCAATCACATAGGTTTGCCCATCTAACATTGGCTTCTTGAGGAGTTTGTTCATCTCGAACCTCATGACGATGTCTCCCAGATGGAGATCAATGATTCCTCCCTTCACATCAATGATTGCACCAGCTGTGCATAGGAAGTTTCGCCCTAATATCAGTGGATCCTTAGGTTCTTCGTCGAGCTCAAGGACTACAAAATCTGCTGGAATGAGTGTGTTCCCTATCTGCACATGTAGATCCTCAAGTATACCGACTGGGAACTTAGTCGATCTGTCAGCGAAAACCAAGAGACTTTCGTGGGTTTGAACTTGGTGTATCCCATCGCTTGGCCACAGAATATGGCATCAGTTCACACTCGAGCCAAGATCACAAAGAGAGCATGCGAAGATCATGTGACCAATCTGCACTGACAAGACAAATCTTCCTGGATCGCTCCTCTTCTTTATCACCTTGTTTGCAGCACAGCGCTACACTCCTCAGATACTAGCATGACGTTTTCCTCCTCAGCTACTTTCCCAGATATCAGCTCCTTCATGTACTTCTTCAAAGCAGGAATCATCTGAACAGCATCAGACAGAGGCAGCTTCACAGTCAAGTCCTTCAACATCTCCTTACACTTTGCTTCCTCCAAATCTTTTCTGGACTTCTTCCGTGGAACAGGGTAAGGCACCTTAGGTGTGTAAGCTCTGGCTGGAGCAGTCTCTGCTGCTGCAGGAGTAGGTAAGTCGGATCAGAATGGGTTCCTGAGATGACGAGGCGTCATCATCAGCCGATCGATCCACTCGGAGCAGCTCGATCGACTTCGCTCACATGTCCTCCTGTTCCTCTCGTCGACTTTCTCCTTGCCTGCCTTTTAGAGGAATCGCAGCTGGTAACAGCTTCCTCCCACTTCTCAGCTCAACTTGTGCAACATACTCATTCCTGGGGTTCGTCTCTCCTTTCCCAGGAAGGGTTCCATGAGGTCTCTTCACTGCTTCAGCGGTTTGAGCTACTTGGACATCCAGCTTCTTCACATGAGTCCACACAGCCTCGTACTTCCCATTCAGATCGTTGTACATGGTGTCTATCTTCAAGTGTGTCTCCGCAGTGGACTTCTGCTGGTTCATCAACATCTGCTGCATCATACCCTTAAGCTCATCGTTCGAGTTGTTCGATGAACTTGAAGGTTGTTGCTGGTTGCTGAACTGCGCCTTCTGTTGGTTACCACCTTGAGAACGGTTCTGGTTTGGGGCAAAGGTCTTTTCCTGGAAGCTGTTGGGGTAGCTCTTCTGATAACTCTGCTGGTTCTGGTTCGATCGCGGCGGATAGACCTGATCCTGAGGGTTCTCGACGTTGGTGCTCCTGTAGGACATGTTCGGATGGTTCCTGTAGTTCGAGTTGAAGCCACGGTTCTGCACAAAAGCTTGCCCATTCACATAGTTGACCTCCATCTGATCATCTTCATCCTCTTCTCCTCCAAACTCTTGGAGATAGGTGATCATCATTTTCGTCAACAAAATGAACAGACTTCTGTGCGCCTTCATCAGTAGGTTCACCTTGGCCGTGAGTTCCTCAATTTTCTTCGCTTCAGCGCCGCTTCCTTTGACTGATACAGTGCTCACTGTTCTGTCGTACTCAGCGTTCTTGTTGCTAGAGCTCGCTGCAAGATTCTCGATCAGCTCGAATGCACCTTCTTTGGACTTCGTCATGAAATCGCCATTGCTGGCTGAGTTCAAAGCGTTCTGTAGTCCCAGTTGACTCCGTCATAGAAGATGCTCAGGATTTGCTCATCAGAGTATCCATGATGAGGACACTCTCTTCGGTACTCTCTGTATCTTTCCCATGCTTCGCAGAAAGCTTCACCTTCATACTGCTGGAAAGATGAGATCTTAGTCCTCAGACCTGCAGTTTTGGACTTCGTGTAGAAATGGTCCAGAAACGCCGCTCTACATTGGGCCCATGAAGTCAAAGACCCAGGTGGTAATGACTTCAGCCAGCGAGATGCTTTGTTGGCAAGTGAGAACGGGAATAGCTTGCACTTCAGAAAGTCAGCTGGTACTCCATTCGAGCTAGTCGTACTGCATATCTCCTCAAAGTTCTCGATATGGTCCATTGGAACCTCAGCAGGTAGTCCATGGAAGAGGTGATCCTTGACTAGAGCGATCATGCTCGGCTTGATCTCAAAGTCTTGCCTCTGAACGGCTGGAGGAACAATCGCAGACCGGTTTTGATAGAAAGGTATGCGGGTTGTCCTTGTCTCCAATGCAGCACGTGGTTGCGGTTCTCTATCTTGTTGAGCCTTCCGCATCTGCTCTATCTGCTGTTGGAGTTGCTGCAACTGAGCAGCCATGTTCGGATTGCCGTTATCGCCCATATCGGCGGATTAGGCCTTTGTTGTCTGTTTGCTCGTTCTACTCTCGCAAGTTCTGCGTTGGACAGGATGAGAAGATCTTCGTTGCGGTTGCTCCGTCGAGATCTAGTGTTCATGCACTGAAACACACACAAGAAAAACGAGAGAAGAACAAGTTAGTAAATCTTAGACTAGATTTTAAATCAAGAATCAAAGGTAACGAATTGGTCCCCGTCGCAACGGCGCCAGAGCATCACTCTGCATTTGTTCCTGCGGATTATGTTGTTCATCATGAGCATCTACATTGTGATTCTTTGGCATCTCCTAAGAATAAGCAAATAGAAACAAGAAATCAAAGTAAAAAGAATGAGTAAGTTCTCTTCATTTCTTTTTTTGGTCCTAAAGTCTGTTTAATCATTATCAGTGAGAGTAAGTATCCACGACTGTGAATGTGAAAAGCAGATTGAGGTTGCACTAAACAGCATCCAAGAGCAAAGTATCCACGAGTAAAAAAAGATAGTTGCTTTATTATTATAGTGTCCAAGTAGGCAAATAATAAGCATCCAATAGCGTTACAAAAGTATCCATGAAAAAAAATCCAAAAAGAAATGTGAAACGTAAACGTATGTTTCAAACTGAGATCAAATATCCGTCCAATAAAATCATCCACAGTCAAATATATTAAAAGAACAAAGAAGGGAAGCAGAGTTTTAAAACACGATCGAAGGAAAAAGATATGAGACAAGGTAAGCATCCAAGTGTGTTGAAGCCTGAATTCACAAAATGGGGGATTGGTGAAACTGAGATACAAAAAGAAGTTAGGGTTTTGTTTAAGAGAAATTAAGGAATTGAAATAGATTTCTTCTTCACAGAGCAGAAATAAAAACAATCAAAAAGAAAAATTCCCTGTAGAATTCAATAGAATTGGAAGGTTGAGACTTGACGGAAAAGGGGTCAGACGACATGGTGAGACTGGCCGGACTGAGAGGCGACGGTGCCCGTGGGAGGGTTTCTAATTTTATGGAGAGTACAATGAATGTAAAAAAAAAAAAAAAGGTAAAAAAATTAAAAAGAGTATTTGAAAGTGTCGATTAAAAAAAGAAGGATAAGAAAGTCATTTCAATTGATGAAAGTGCATCTCTGTCCTAAAGTCACTCAAAGTATAATTGTAAAGTAGAAAAGTCACTTTAAGTATAATATTCTCGTTTATATAAGGGTGAGGTTTCTTAGTAGATGTTGCAAAGAAGCTTTTTATTGTCTTTCTTAGATTCTAAACAAAGTATAAATTTCTTCTTTCAAGTTTCAAGAAGTGTTTTTTTTTTTTCAGTTTTGGAATCTCATGTGAGCTGTCAAAGGTTTTGTTCTTTGCTTCCCACTTATTTTTAAAAATATATTTTGATAATAAAGATGTTAAAAGAACAAGAGAGATTTCACAAACAAAAAGTTCCAAATCAAAAGACTAAGATCTTCTTCATGTCAAAAAAAAAAAAAAAAAAACCGACATTGTTCTGAGCTTTGGGATCATTAGAGAACAAACAGACACATGAACAATTTTATAGACCAAACAAAAGTATTAATACATCATGTCCATTTTTTTTCATTATAGATCATTTATATTACACAGATCTCTCCACATTTGCTCCTTTTGATCCTTCTCCTGTCCAGAAACAGCGTCAAAACACCAATCTTTAAAAGTCGAAAACTGATCCATAATGCTAACTTTTAGTTATGACATCACATCATTAGCGCCAAAGCTACAGCCATAGCGAAAACAAGTGACATCAAGACACTGATACCGCGTCTACGTCCTGAGCTCTTCTTTGGGAAATGTTCTGGTAGCGCGCATTCTTCTCCATTGAAGAATAGTTTGGTTGGGAAACCATCGCCTGCAGGAATATTCAGTCCATGGATGTTCTTCTTGGTGAAGGAGATAACAGACTGTTGCTTTCCAGGCACAGCAGGGTCTCTTAATGGATTGGTTCCGTTAACTTGACCCACAAGATAGTTCATACCAGGCAAACCTTGGAACATAACGGTTCTATTGTGTGGTGGAACACGTGTCCCATTAAAGGAGTAAACGTTTTCATACCCTGTACCTGCTTTTCCCATATCAATTGCCACAAACCAATCCTCAAACGCGAAACCTCTCCAATTGAACACGGTTAACCTTGCGGTCCAACCATTTTTGTAATCCGTGTTCACGTGCCAGTTAATACTGACTCCACAGTTATCCGGACAAGGAAGTTTCTTGGGTATTGGCATGTTCTTTAGTTTAGCCCAAGCTTTAGCTTTTAGGGTTCGGTTTTCGAATGGGACGAGGAGAGCATCAGGAGGGAGGAGGAGCGGGTTACGGTCAGCATTGCAAGTGTCGGTATCGATGTCATTGCATCCGCAAGCACAAGTGTTGCAAGGAATTGCAGAGCTGTTGTAAAAGGCAGAGAAAGAGACACAACATCTTGCGGCCTGAGCTTTGGGTTTAGTTATGTTACAGACCACTTGCCAGCTGGCGATTGCGTAGGTTATAGCCGGTAGACCGCTAGAATCCGGGAACTGCGATGGATCAACACGAACCGGTGGCCCGCATTTGTACTGTGGATTAAGAACACCGTCGATTTTCCAGTTTTGAGGTGGGATCAGAGCTGTTCTGTTTAGATCCGGAGGCAACTTGAAAACCTGAAAAATTGAGAGAAAACAAAAAAAAACCATTATTATTTTTCTTCGAATCCTAACATATTTAAGTAAAGAGAATATATACCTGCAATTGAAATATAGATCGAGCTTTCGAAGGATCCATAATAGGTGGCAAAAGAGTTCCGTTTTTGCAACAGAAAGGTAACTTTCCGGTCACTTTATCGTCCTTCTTTTCAGGAGGGAGATCGGAAATGGCTGGCTTTTTCTGACAATTCATGACCTGAGAGAGATCCAAGTCTTTGTAATATTGTCCAGCTTTGCTGTAAAGGCATTCAGATGGATCTCTCTTGTGAGTGTAAGCTCCACGCATCGTGTTTATAAACTCTCCTCTCATCCATTCAAAAGTCAAGTTCCAACGGTCTAACCGCCCGAGAGGATTATCGTTGTCGATTGTTACTTGGGCTAAGTAGTTGCTGTCAAACGACTGCAAAACATCGTAGACTATGTTCAGATCACCGTACCTTCTTGGTGCAAACTTTGTCTTTGGTCCAGTCTTGTTCTTGAACTTAGGGTTTCTCTTGCAACAAACGTGCATATTACCTCCTACGCAAGCAAAAAAAAACTCACCATTTGGAAATCACATTTTTAACCATTACAAAAACACCGAGAAACCATTTACGCAAACCTTTTTTCCAAAACAGTTAAATTGTTGCGTTTACGTTTAAAATACATCAAAGTTAACTGTTTTTTATAATAAAACTTCTTCATATATTTCAAATGCAAACGTAAACAAAATCTTGTAAATAGAAGAAACAATTTGAGACTGATTTAACCTTTTCTTATCGCGTTGGGGCATTCCCAACCATCGTTGACGAGTTTAATTGTTCTTGGCATGGGCGTGACCGATTTTGAAACCCCGAAAAAAGTCCCGGTGATTTCGATATTCGTGGATATTTGAGTGAAATCACCTGCGGTTTCAATCGAGGTTTTTAAATCCGTGTTTGGCGATCCAACGAACGTGGTTCCATTGCTCGCATCCAGAGGATAATCTCCGTCCATTGGAGTCACACCGGTCGCAGAAACGATCAATTCTTTGTGACGAAACCCTATGAACATTTGCCATCCCTTGAGTTCTTCCCTACCCGCATTAACAATCATCGCAGATGCTTTGAACGCCCACGATTGTGCGGTCACGTTCTTAACGTGAGGGTACTCTCGTTCGCGGCTGCCAAAGCTGTAGGTCATGAAAATACCGTTGCAATTTGCCATCTCTGGTGGCGGCTCGCCTCCTCCTGCTCCGTCTTCGCCCGGCGTTCCATAATCTTGGCCGTTGCAAAGCAAAAGAATTGATGATAACAAAACTAACAAACTTAATGAAGTGTGTGAATTCCAAGGTATCTTCATCCCTGGTTTAACTTCAATAACCTTTATCGTTTGAGTTTTTATAATTTTTTGCTTTCCTCACCGCCTTGTGATTACTTGAACCGCAAGGCAGCGAGAAAAACAAAAGAACAAGGAATAAACCAAGCCTTTTAAACAAAGACGAAGACTGAATCAAACGATTAAGGTGTAGCGTGAAGAACCTGTAAAAATATCAAAATCAAAAAGTTGTAGTTCAAAGAAAAGAAGATGGTTGGAGATGAAGAGGTCTTCTTAATAGGTAGCTTTGATATGGGCCTCTGGTTTTATTTGGTGGTCATGCGAAGATACATGTAAGAATGTGTGTTAAGGTATTTACTAATTTTGGAACATAGTTTCATAGTTGTTTAAATTACCAAATCTCTGGTCTTTATTTACTTAGATTCCAATATAATATGGATTCAAGATTGGTTTCGCTTCAGAATTTTTTGGTGCTTTAAGAATAACTAGGTTGAAGCCCGCGCTACGGGCGGATGGTATACTACTTTTTTTATTTAATTTGTTTTTTTCTTTTTATAATTTTTTATTTAAAAATATAATAGTTTCTCGGACACAGAGATTTGTTTAGTTTCTCGAATTTTGTTTTCCCACCACTCATGCGTATTTCCTTGCTTTTGGGTAATTCCTCTTAAACTGTTATCTTTGTGAAATGATGTTGTCCAATTATTTCTCACAATGATACCAATGGTAAAAAAATAGCTTATACTCACTTTGATAATTGTTAAAATATTATTGTATTTTAATCCCCAATTATTTTTTACTAGGTTTGAAACCCCGCGCAAGCGCGGGGTTGCTTGCGATAATTTTTCTGTATGGTTTTGTATTAACTTTCATGTTTTTGTTATGTTTTGAGTTAAACCAACTACTTACACTAAAATATATGAACAATTTGTTTTTTATTTTATTTTATTAGGATATTAACACCTCACTTTATCTCGAGTTATCTATTTCTAAAATTTTAGCATGTTGTAAATATTACGTTTGTTTACTTCTATTAGACTATAAACATGCATATAAATTTGAATCAACGTAAAAATTTGTAAACATACTGTAACATCGCATTTGCACCCGAAATAAGATTAAAAAATAATATGTATACTTTTTATCTACTTTGTTGTGGTAGAATGTGAGCCTCATGACCATTGATTATTTTTATTATGTTAGTTTTGTAAATAGAAATTGTATTTTTGAAACAAACATATCACAATCCTTAAAATTTTCATGTTTTTCTCTGCAATTAAATTTACCTATCAAAACTCGACTTCTATTTGTTTAAATAAACAATCTCCAACTCTAATTTTTCATTAGATTTCTATTATCTAAGCTAATTATATTCAATTTTAACTTGTAAACACATTATAACATTTTTAAATAGATAAATCCTTTGAATAAAAGGGTAAATTTATACTATTTCAAGTTAAATATTTCTTTACTCCATCTCCATTTTATATTCCAACTTTTTGATAACTTTTAACATCAAGTTATCACATACTATATATAAATTAATTAATTTATTTGTGTATTTTTCTTACTTTTATTTATATTTAAAATATGAATAAATGTAAAGAAATATGAATAGTCATTTAATAAATATTTAAATACAGTTTAATATATTTGTGCTGATATGGACACTCTAGATGGAAAGAGGAACTCCCTAATCTCTTTATTATTAATTGAGAAGTACATTGATAGTTTTTGGACCAAAAAACCATTCTATTTATAAAGAAAATGTGTTTGGCAACAGGTGTAAGTAGGGTTAATTTTGTAAAAAAACAACAACTCGGGCTGAGTTGACTCACCCAAAAAAAAAATCCGACCCAAAGGAAAGCGGATCAACACGCGGATCCATCTTCACTTAAAATAAACCGGGACAAGAAAGAAAACCAATGGTTTAATTCTAAACCGAGTAACACGGCAACATTAATCTATTTTTGTTTTTTGGTCGTCATATTTCACTTATAAGGCCTATGGCCCATTAGAATTCAGAAGATGAAAATTTCAATGTAAATACACCCCAAGTTCATCAATTATATTGTTATATAGTATCTAAAACATTTTTAATATGATTTTATAGATTGGTACTTCGTGTGTCAAATAGATTTTCGGGTTTAGTGATAAAAAATTTTGGATTGGGTCGGATTCAGGTTTTTCCTGTTTTGTCCAGGACTTTTAGGTTTTACAAATTTTTTTCGGGTTTTTGCGAATTTCTGGTTTTCGAGTTTAGAAATATAAACATGTGTGATAAAAAGGTATTATACAAAGGTTTGGGTTCGGGTTTCAGTTTCGGTTCGGGTTTTTCCAGGTTTGATTAAGGTTTTACGGGGTTTTCTGAATTTAATGGGGTTTCTAGAAGTTTATCAAGTTTTTGTGGGTTTCAGATTATCCGGTTTAGAGATATAAAAATCGTCATTCAGATTTTTCTAAGAGTTTGGTTATATTTTACGTTCATGACATGTTAAATTTTAAAAGATTCAGCTTTTTTTTTATGGAAAAAGCAACGTACCACCGCACAAACATGCGGGTCCTCTAATAGTTATATATAAGATTAATGTACACACTATTCAGTATGTTAAGAAAATACTACGCAACAAATGGGTTTCTATTTTAGAAAATGTTTAATTAATAATATAATAAACAATTTATGCATAATTTAGAATATGGTCAAAAAGTTATTTATAAAACGTCAAAATTTTACGAAAACATTTACCACATAATATAATTGTAATTACAATTTTTTTTTAAACTATCTATTGAATTCTTTTTTATTCTTTAATAAAAAATTAATCTTGAATTCTTTCATTCTTTGGTTGTACAAATTGAATTCTTTTACTAGTGAAAATAAATTATACTTGAATAAACAGATAATGAAAATCATTGTCTTCAATCATTAGGGTCACATTTCTACATGGATAAAATTTGAGGTGGTCTTAATTACACTTCTAAAATCATATATGATACAAAGAGTCTATTATAAAAACCTAGGACTTTTTTACAGATGATGATTTTCTTGTAAAGCTTGCATCTGAACATAATCTTATATATAATTATGGAGTTGCTCTCTCCATTTAAAGTGTCCACATGAGCAGAAAAATATTAAGTTGTATTTAAAATATTTATTAAATATATGACTATTCATATTTCTTTACATTTATTCATATTTAATAAAAATATACAAATAAATTAATAATTAATAAAGTATAAGATAATTTGATGTTAAAAATTATCAAAAAGTTGGAATATAAAATAGAAAAGGAGTAAAGAAATATGTAAGTTCAAATAGTATAAATTTACCTTTTTATACAAAGGATTCTCCATTTTTAAAATGTTATAATTTTTTTACAAGTTAAAAAGTTGAATATAAATTAATTAAAATAATAGAAAGCTAATGAAAAATTAGAGTTAGAGTTTGTTTTTCTAAACAAATAGAAATAGAGTTATATAGGTAAATTTAATTATAGTGAAAAACAATACAAAATTTAACCTTCAGTCAAATGGTCAAATAAAGTCAAAAAAAAAGTAAACAAACATAATATTTATAATATGATAAAATTTTAGAAATAGAAAACTTGAGATGAAGCGGGGTATTAATATCCTAATAAATTAAAATAAAAAACAGTTATTAATATTTTTGAGTGTTAGTGGTTGAATTAACTCAAAACATAACAAAAACATGAGAGTTAACACAAAACTATCATAATTCAAATCAACGAGTATAAATAAAATTAAACAAAAAACCATCGCAAACAACCCCGCGCTTGCGCAGGGCTTTCAAACCTAGTATTACATAGTTTGTAATGCTAAAAAAAACAAATTTAAGCCTCTCAGTTGTGTAACCTTTTTTGTGTTCAACTAAGAGGCTTAAATTTTTTAAAAAATTAGTTTAATTTGTCTAAAGTTTTTTATAAAATTACCTTGTCTGTTGCTATGGAGTTATTTACACTCTGAGGCACTTTCCCACCACTTTTTAGTAACACAAAAACACACTTACCACTTATAGTGCACTTCTATTAGACAGAATGACAAATATAGTCTTTCTCAACCCAATTCTCTGTTTTCGGTAAAACTTCAAATCTCGTTTTTACTTCTTCAATTTTTACGTCGACAATTGCTATGTCTTCTCCGATACATCTCAATTTTTCAGGCGACGAAACCTTCAGAAAATCTAGGTTCCTCCGGGCCTCACACGCTCTTCACCAATCTTCCGCAATAAATTCCTCACTCTATCAATCTTTTATGAGTTTATTGATGCTTAAAAACCCTGATTTCCTCACCGCCGTCCACAATATCTGGACTAAAGGCTATCGGAAACCAGTTTCTCGATAAACAAGCCTTACTGCAATTTTGGATCCAAATACCATTGCGGTCGAAGGCCATCCCTCCACTTCTCACCTTAAACCAAACGGGTCCCCCACTGCCTCCACGAGCACCAGCCGCCACCGCTATTTGAAGGTACTCCTTTTCATCCAAATCTAATTATTCGATTTGCCACAGTTCGTCTCTTTTTGGACTTCAGCATACTGTATTTTCTCATTACATCCATTTTCACGGCAGGTTCATACACATATCCATGTGGATACGTTTCATTCCCGTCCATATGGGCATATACTTCAGCTTTTCTACATATCCATGGATACATTTATATTTTATACTATCTACTGTACTATTTATCAGTAATATGTATCCATATGGATACATTTATACTGCATTTTACAAATGAGCATCCATTTTACCCTGTCCATCCTAAACTCTGATATTCATATTTATATAACGTTGTCCATTTTTATGTCAAAATTCTCTAAACTCTAATAATGACAATCATGAACCCCATACAATATATCTCAAACACTAAGTTTGGTAACTGGTTTACTCATGACACTTATATCTTGATTCATTTTCATGAAAATTTATTTTACACAGATAGGACTTGTCTTTATTTAAATTATGTATAACTTTTTTTGAAAATCTTTTTTTTTTTTAGATTTTAA